GTCACCCAAGAAGTGTTGGCTTTGGTGTCCACCTCACGGAGTGGGCCTTAAGTCAAATCAGATATTTGGTTACTCACGCAAGCTCTGTGCCACCGTCGTACCAACCTATCTTTCAGGCAGGTCACACCTGTGGATTAAAGGTTTTGTAGCTGAGTTGGTGTTTACTTTTTCTTCTGGTAGTGTACAGAATACCTTCTAGTGCCATGAGCTCTAGTCGTTAGGGGTGAAGGCTCTAGATAGGAACCAGTCAGGGTCCAGCTTTGACGGGGTTCATATGCTCTAGGATATAGGTGTGTAGATTAAAAACACCAGGAAGACAGAGCAGACATACAAAAGAAATAGAAAGAGACACAGAATAGAACCAGGAGGGCAATCCAGTGAATTCTTAATTCACCCGCATCTATATCCATATGTTTATATACCCCAATCACAAAGGGGTAGTGGAGAAAGCAAAAGACTGCTTAAACATGATACAAAGAACAAACAGAGCAATTACTTCTTCAATACCTGAAGCATCAAGCAACTATATCCTGAGTTAAGTTTTCTGTTGTCTATGCAGGACATGCAGCAACCACTCCATGGGCCAAGCATCCTGTAGGCAGTCACTCCCTGGCTCAAAATTCCTGTCATCTCCTTGAAGGAGCAAGAATACACCTGAACTCTCTGATCTTTGATCAAAGTGGAAAGGATCCACCTCTGTGGACTCTCTTAATTCCCAAAACACAAAGTAACCACACCCTAGGTCAAGGCCACGCCTTAAGTCAAACCTCTTGGTAATAACCTTGAAGGAGCAAGAATAATAGGCCTAAACTCTCTGACATTTAGTCAAGGTGGAACACAGAACCAGCTTGACTTCTCTGTGTCCAGTGAGTGGTATAGGTGTTTCCTTCAGCAATAAAGCCTCACCATCAGTTTGTGAAGAGCAATTAATAGCCCTGGCAATAGCTATGTTGTCTGATGTTTGCATGAGGGCCCCTTTGGCCAACACTTCTATTAGATGTGACCCATGGCTGGCACTGGAGGTTTCCTTTGGTGGTGAGAGATGTCTTTATGGGACTTTTGTGTCTCCTGCTACTTAGTGATTCCAGCTAGAGGTCCTTATAGACAATACCTCCCTAATTACTTTACGAGTCTCAGGTAGTTACATTAGTTTTCCATCAGGAGTGTCCCGTGGTGTTGGATGTTTCACATCCTTCCTACTTTCTTCCTTACATTATCCACTAACAGATCTGCCCCCCAGTCACAGCAGCAAAAATGTGTCTCAAGAGCTCAACAGAAGGCCTGGAAAAGTAAAATCACCTGTACTGAAAATCACTGCTATAGAATGTTGACAAATACAAATAAATAAGTAAATAAGCAAACAAACAACAACAGAAGAAGCACCAAAATGTACCAGGTTCAATTTGTCAAAAGCATCTAATTTTTAAAATAAAATATTTTAGTAATCTTTACAGGGTAAAGTTAAGTTATTTAAAGCATAAAATATTCACCTGGTATTAGAGAATGTATTTAATTAGGGAACTCTAGATTCTGCAAATATGATTAGAACCTGCTTTTAAAATTCACATTGTTTTGCTTTTTGGTTTTCGTTTTTACTTTTAGAATAATCAGTATAGTTAAGCTCTTCAGATGCCTGAGCTTGCAATGCAGTTTCCTATGTAGTTATGGAAACACACACACACACAAACACACACATACATGCACAAACCCTTATTCACCAATAAGTGAGTTGGTGGATGAACAAAGGAGTTCATATTTATGGAAAGAAAATAATCAAAAAAATTTTTTGAAGTCAGTGAGTCTGGTTTTCAGGATCTGTCTGGCATGTGCTAACAATCCCTTCCAGATCTTGCTAACTGGCTAATATGGCCACCAGAGTATCTAACTATTCTACAGGAGGTCTTGTAAGATGTGGAAATACAGGTGAGGTGTGTTTTGTAGCTAAGTTGATCCTGAAATACCATTTAACCATAATGTCTTAGGAGTGTGTTTGTAAATGGACTGGTGAACAAACTTTTGGGGATAGATCCTTGATATTCCTAAAACTCTTTGAAAACTTATACGGTGAATCCAAAGCCCATGATAGGGATTCAAAAGCATTTAGAAAATAATTAATAGTAAATGAGATTAGAAAAATGGGTTTCTCGTCTAATAGGGCAAGTGGCCTTCTAAGCATTGGAACCTGAGAACAAGGGAAAGCTGTGTGAGAATAGAAAGCCGTCTTCAAGCCAAAGATAACTCGTGCTCTGCAAATTACCCTGCCTGTGACATGTTGTCACAGCTGAGTCACCGAGGGAGAGAAACCTACTCATAAATCTAGACGCCAGTGTCGGATGATCTCTGCAAATCTTGCTAGTTTTTACCACCTAGCTATAAACTGTATATAACACAGACATTCAAGCAGTTCTTACATAAGCGTCCTGCATACTTATGTATGAATAAATGAACAAGTGAGAACTCCCATGGATTCCTAAAGGAGGATGTGTTTGGAGATAAGCAAAACTTTGGATATAAGTCATAAAATCTCAAGAATCCATTGACCAGGCTTTGAGAACAATAACTGTATATCTCTACTACAAAAAAATCCCTGAATAACAACTCATATTGGATATTAGACAGATGTTAGCCACATCAAAATCAAGCTGTCACCACTACTGCCTTATGCCCTGCCACTAACTGTGCAGACACAGACTGTTTATCAACACAAAATACTTCCAGAAAGCAGAAGATGAGTGAACACGCAGGTGGATTTCACACAAAAGTACCTGTGGTAACCAAAGCCTTTTAGTCTTGTGACTATCCAACCTTGTCTTCAGTTGAAATAACAGATAATGTTTCTTTTTCTCCCCCCCCCTTTTTTTTCTTTCATGACAAGGTTTCTCTATGTAGCTCTGCCTGTCCTGGAACGCGTTCTGTAGACTAGGCTGGCCTTGAACTCACAGAGATTGCTCGCCTCTGCCTCCTGAGTACTGAGATTAAATGTCTGTGCCACCACCACCGCCCAACAACACCTAATACTTCTAACCCGATGAAGTATTTCACATTTTTTAGAAGGAAATTTCCAACTGCCTTAAGAATGTATAGAAATGAGTCATGCCTGACTGTTCCAAATTGACCAGTCAAGGTGCTTGGAATCTACGTGGTTACTCAGTCCAGTCTGGCTACTGTGGATTCAGCGATGAGCCTTTAACTTCTCAGGTCAAACTCCCATTCATTTAGACTCTACTATGATTGTGGTAGGTGTGTATCGATGTGAAAACCGATTCTATGCTTTATGATGCCAATCAACAGTGGTTCATGAAACGTTTCCCAGGGCTCAGTTGTGCCTGGTGCTGTACAGGTGCAGCCGTGGCTGGGATCAAAGCAGCTTCCCTTTGCTTCTCACCTCCTTATTCAGCCTTGGAGCAACCATACACACATGGTATTCTAGATTATTTTTTTCTGTGTTTCTGTGTGTTTGTTTGTGTGAAGATGTGCCATGTGGTTACCAGAAACCTAGATCAGAGCCTCTGGAAAAAAGGCATGTGCTGTTAACTTCTGATGATACTCAAGATGGTTTCATGCATAAGCAAATCAGGGCACAGAGAATTTAATCACTGGCTCAGTGTAGCCCAGGTTTAATAGCAAAGCTATGAGGTCTCCCCTTGCAGATGGGCTTGAAAGACTTCTCTCCTCACAGCCACCCTGTTTAGATGGACCTTGTTTTCTGCGTGTCTATTTGTGTTTGTCTGAATGGTTATATAGCTCCCCTGCTTTTTGATTTCTTATTGACAACTTGGGGTCACAGTTGTTTGGATAAGGGTCAGAACCTCAAGCATCCACTGAGCACCCGTGTGCCCAGGACTCCTAGACAACAGTGTGATTGTGTTATTGGTTCTATTGTTGACAACCTGCCATGATTTGAGTTAATCATGATTGCATGAGAAATGAATAGACATGTGACATGGCTCATGAAACCAGTTAGGGCTTTGCAAGTGTGCCTTGTTTTTATCGATTTCGTTTTCCCGTGTTACTTGGCCTTAGATTTATTCTCAACTTCTTAAAACCAAATCTTGTTTGGAACAGGAAACCCTCTCAGGCCCATTTGCAAAGGCTTGATATTTACATCCATGAACATTTAATCTCATTTCTTAACACTTCACATGGTTTACACACTCTGAAATCTGATATCAGAACTGCCCGTCATTTGATACCAACATTTCCATATTTGACATACTTGATACGTAAGATGTGCAACACACGTTATAATTAAAACCACTACTACTGTATGTTTGATATTCTTCATACATGCATTCTTAGTGTGCGCGTGGAAAAAGAACCAGTGGCGTTTTCTAAAGGAGCGTTCAGTGCCCTAGTGCACAGATGGTGCTCTAGAACAGAACCAGCATGCACTAAACCAGCCTCAGAACCGTACCTGTACAAGAAGGAGACCTCTCAGTAAATCAAATCCTTCTAAGTGTGAGGTCCACGAGTTCCTTCCGTTCTGGGGGCAGAGCGTGGTTGCTCCTTCCTCCTCACGGCCTGCTACTGCTACCTGCCTGAACCTTGTCTTTGGCTCCCGACAAACCTGCAGTCAGAATGGCGTGTTCTCTTTCCAGCACTTGCAAATCCGATTTTTATGTCTAGCTAAGTGCTCTTGGTTTTCGCTCTACCTACTGCTGGGGCCTGGTTTCTAGCAGACCTGTACCTAAGCCAGATCCGGCCTATGTAATGCTGTTTGTAATGAGAAATCTAAACAGGGAATGGCAGTGAGGCATGGCAGGAATGTGTTTCCATTGGAGAAGTCAGCGCAGAGAAAAAGTATATGCAAAGCCGTGTCCAGAAGGTCTTTTCAGCTGGCCAGGACTGCAGACTAATGTTATTGCACTAGGCTGTTAGTCGGCCAGCCCTTCCTCACGGATTTGCTTTCTCTTCCCCTCCTCCCACCCCACCCTCTTCTCACCCTTCTCTTCTCTTTTCCTCTTCTCTCCTTCTGTGGACCCTGCTGACTGTTTGCTCAGGTGGACAGTGACACCATTTGGAACGAGCTGCACTCGTCCGGTGCTGCACGCATGGCTGTTGGCTGTGTCATTGAGCTGGCTTCCAAAGTGGCCTCAGGAGAGCTGAAGGTGAGGTCTGGGTTGCATTAAGTGTGGGAAATGCAGAGAAGACACTGAAACAGAGATGTTGTTGTTTGGGGGATGTGGAGGGTGTAGTGCGTGAATAAAGGAAAGAGATGGAAGGAGGAGGGCAAGACGATGGTCACTGAGGTGTGAGCAGAACTCCTCTGTAAGGAGGTGGTTGCTGTCCTGCTTGAAGTCTTCCTCCTCTCTGGAAAGTTCTGTAGTCAGAGCACAATAGTGTATTTGTAAACCATAGGCACGGTGAGCAAAACCTTGGTCCATGTTAAAATTACCATGTGGGGTGTTGTGTGTGTGAGCGCGTGGTGTTTGTGTGGTGTGTGTGTGTATGTGTGTGTGTGTGTGTGTGAGAGAGAGAGAGAGAGAGAGAGAGAGAGAGATCTGTGATGCTCTTTTGAAGTGACTTAGGAACTACAGTTCCTGAGAAGTGTGTGTAAGTTCAGAATACCACCCAGAGAGAGGAGGGGAGAAAGTCAACACAGACGGAAGGATTGGGAGGAAATTGTTGATTGGATGGGTAATGAACCGAAGTATGTTTTTCCATGAAAGAACTTCAAACATGAGTGATGCTTTATTGTTCTTCTCTTTCTATGGTCTCTTCTTTTTACATCATATGAAAAGAACAATGTCCAAACCCCGACGTCTCCAGTCTAAACAATTTATAAAAACCAGAGACCTGACAGACATTGACATTTTATTTGGTATTTTAACAGTGCTATTTAAAGGTATGCCATGTGTGTCTTGAATGTAGCTACCCCAATAAACCTGGTTGGTGCTAACACAGTTTTTAATGCACTAGTTCACACACTTCATAACGTGATCTGGGACGGTGATTGGTCTGGTATTTTTAGCAGTTGTGAGGCTTGAGGGAAATTACCCCGACCAGCAATATATGCACTGTGAGTTTTGTGAATCTAAGATAAAGTCCAAATAGAATGGCTATTCTCAGGGCTAAATGAAATTTTTATTCAAGTTATACCTGAATCTGGTGATTGAAAATGTAGGGTAGTACTGAGAACTGTGGTGTCATCTTTCCCAGAAGTCAGAATGTACAAAAATAAGCTCTGGATGTGGTAGGTTCTAGGGTTTTGTTGTTCTTAAAGAAATGCCTGTGTGTGTTTGACAAGACTGAGCCTGGGGACACTAACTGCTCATCGGAGACTAATGGGGCCATTAATGAAAACAGTGGTTAATTTTCTGCCCTTATCTTTACAAATGATAAACTAAAAGGTCAGGGATTCCTGCGTTCTGGGCGGGCTTTTCTGTTCCCTGTAATGCCTTCGGATAATTACTCTTATTCGATGACGTCATAAATTATGATAAGTGGTCATCACTAAAGAATATTTGAGAATATTGTTTTCAAAAGGACTCACATGACAAGCAATAATACCGTGGCTAGATATTCCAGTTTTTAACGGTTGCTTTGTTGCCACACCCACTCTTGATGTCAAAAGAAATTTCTGTGTTAGCATTCACAATTTCTAATTGCTTTTAGTTTCAGACAATTCCATTGATAATCTAGAAGCCTTCTTAACTGGAATGCAGACAGTCAAGAAAATCATGACTGTCCTTACGGGGTCTCTGTGGAATTCACAAATTTATGAATGAAGAGAATGAAACAGAAACTTAATTCCATTTTAAGCAGATTGTCATTTCAGATGATCAGTTACAAATAAGCTGCGGACAGTGTCCTGCGGACATGCTGGCCACCAGCTGTACTAACATGGACTATTTATGTTAAGAGCAAGAATTCCTGCAGATGCTTTTTCTCCTCTTTGCTAAACAGTCAGCAGGCGTGGTTGGTAGAGAAAAGGACTCTGCTATCCCAGTACCCTGGGCAGCATTGTGTGGCTTGTCTGGGTGGCTTTCCTGACTGATCGTCAAGCAGGGCTGAAGAGGTCGAACGTTGTCCACACCGCAGACACTGACTCTGAGCGGTTTGTAAATGAGAAAAGCAGAGTTGAGTCTCAAGTATGGACCTTCAGCATACAAAATAAGCGAATATCACAAACCGAAGTTCACCTGGCTTTGGCGAACGTTTCAGATTTTGAAGTTAACTTTTTTTTTTCTGAGGGTCTAGAACAACAGAAAGAAAGAAAATCCAAGATAGATGGTACCATAATAGGAGCTGATTCCATGTTGATAGCCACAAATGAACCCCTGGCAGTTACTGATTTGAAGACAGGGAAATTACATTGGACACATAGAAACCAAAAATGATTTGTAGCCACAATGAGAATTTCAAAAACTAAATTAGAGTCGCCCTTGTGAACCCCTTGTCAACCAGATGGTCATCCCATTTCACCTGTCTCTGCACCATTTTCCAGCCTGGTGGACCTGCTGACTAAGGGCATTGTTGCCCATGACTTCTGGGTCCACTGCGTTCTGATCCAGAAAGGAAATGGAGAGGCTTATTTTAGGACACTGGTAAACAATACCTTGGTAATAAATAAAAAAAAATTATAAACCCCACTTTTCGGTAATTTCCTGTCTATATTCAGTTCTCACACATTTTGCCCATTTTCCTAGAAAGTCTAAACTTTAATAAAATACCACTGGTGTTGCATAATATTACATCTTTTAAGAGAGTGCTACTTTATCTTTAATATATATCTTTTATATATAAAAGGATTAAGAGCTTTCTTGAAGACTAGATATGTTAGGAACTTGAAGACTGGATATGTTAGGAACTACGAGATGAGCTGGAGGGAGATCACGGGGATCACAAAGAGTGGAAAACTGATTCGAACACACTAGAGAAGAGAAACAACCAAGGTAACCTGGGTCCACCCAGGAACTGCATCTGACCTTGCCTGTCCTGTCTTCCTCAGTGCTGAGGGGTCTGGGAGAAACTAATAAAGCAGAAGAATTACAAGAATGAATCCAGCAAAGGGGAAGGGCTTCAGACTGACATTTAAATATGACACGTGTGGCAAGCTGTAGCTGTAAATTGGTGAATTTTTAGTACAGAATGGAAACAATCAGCAGAGTGGAATGGAAATTATGAGACATTTCAAGCTTTCTGGGTTTTTAACAACATATACGCATAATTCTTCACATAGGTTTCTGGTACCAAGGGACAAACCCTCTGAAAATGCTGGAATTTTTGGTGTACCAGAAGAGTAATTATCTCAAAATGAAATTCTGTAGGATATTATAGGAAGTGCACATGGAATATGGAAATATCTCTAAACGTTAATACTTGTTCAGCTCATTAAATAAATATGCAGTAAGAATCTCTTAAGAATTCCTGTAGCAATCTACTTTGACGACACTTTGAGCTGCCAGCACAATTTATTCAGAAATGACAACAAAAAGCCAAACTATCTGATTGTGTGGAGATGATTTCTCTGATGTTTGAGCACATATTTGCAATGTGATGTTGCTATGACAACCCTTCTTTGTGTAACTAGTAAAGTTGGTTTGCTTGGCATGCGTTCACCCCCCCCATGTCACTGAGGACCCTTGAAGTAAATTCTCCTGGTAGGATACTGCCTTAAAGAATTCAATCAACCCTTTAAGATCCTGTATTCAACTAATAAAGACTATAAACTTCACAACCCTCTATTTTCTTCCAACTGTTGCATTGGAGCCATCCTGTAGCACAAGTAGATGGCCTGTGTCCTCATTTTATGGCTAGAATTATTTAATGCGTATGAAAAGACAAGATGGGGCTAGAGAAATGGCCCAATTGTTAAGACCAACAACTGCTCTTTAAGCAGGCCTGGGTTTGGTTCCCAGCTCCATCTTAAGTGGCATCTTAAGCACCTGTTACTCCAGCCCCAGGAGATCAGAGGCCCTCTTTGTACCCCTGAGGATATCAGACATGCATATGGTGCACATGCAAATATACAGGTAAAACATTCATATGCATGAAGTAAAAATATAGAAATCTTTTTTTGAAAGACAAAAGAAGTACTTCCACTTTCAAAAGGCAAGAGAATAACAAGCTATCCATGATCTGTACATTCGTCGGACACGAGACAGTGTGCTGGCCAAACAAGTGTGCGTTCACAACCACCTCATTCCTATCTTTTTGAGCCAGACATAGCAATCTGCTGCATTTTCAGAAATTGCCTACTTATTTATTTTGACAGTTTTAAACATTTTAGTCTTTAAAAACTATAGAATGGTATTGATGTTTTCTCCTCTAGTGTTCTTAACTTAAAATTATGCCATGAAGATGTGGGCATCTTAATTGGAGTAATAAAGTATTCCTTTGTACATCAAAAACAGTTCATTCTTCTGTTGGGTGTTTTTGTTACTGCCAGCCTTTTCTCTTTGAACAATACCTCAACATGCTACCTTTTTTTTTTTACTATGCAGTAAAGAATGTCCAGTTTCTAGGCTTGCCACATAATAAATCTTAGTAGGTAAGGCCAAGTGGAATCCTAAAGTAATTCTGCTAAAATAAGACCAATATAAATGTTTTCCTCCAAAGGCATTTGCTGGAAAACTAGGAGGCAATCAAGAAGCTTCATGTGAGTCGGTTGATGGATAACTGCATGGCCAACAACATACACCAGGCTACAGAGATGACTGGCTATGATGCCATGTGAACCCAGGGCTGTGTTCAAGCTCAGGAAAGAACTACAGAGGCCCTAAACCCTTGGTTCCAGCTGACTTTGAGCTTCTCCTCAAACTGGCAGTGAAGGACAAGATTAGCTGCCCAAATAGATACTGGATGTGTACGCTGACACACTTGCATACATGCGGTGACCCCGCAAAGGCTGAAGCGATACCTGGCCACTAAGCTAACAAAGCAGAAGACAGTACCACATAAATCATAGAGACAAAACTTTATAGAAGTAGTTCAGAAAACCACCAGACAAAACAATTATCAACTGTACTAAGCCTTGCTCCCAGAGAGATGGAGCTCTAATGTTCAGAGATAACATAGAAAACATCTTTAAATTATACATACTATGTACTGTTTTAAAAGCTTACTTTTCTTTTTTTTGTTCTTTTTTCTTTTTACTTATTCTTCT